AGCTTCCTTCTTGTTTGTCTTTTGATTGGAGTCATCGAGTTCTGAGAGAGGGCATTTGAGGTCCCTTACTATTACAATTTTGCTGTCTATTTCTTCCTATAACTCACTTATCCTTTGAGAATCTGGATGCTGTGTCACTTGGTTCATAATATATTTAGTGTTGATAAAACTTCATTGTCTATGGTACCTTTTAGCAAGATGCAGTTTCCTTCCTTATCTCTTTTAATTAGGTCTGTTTTTGCTTTTGCTTTGTCTGAGATCAGGATTATGAAAGCAGAATTACCCTGATTTTTTTTAAACTTAAGCTGAAGCATAATAGATTCTGCTCCACCCCATTACCTTTACTCTGTGTGTGTCTTTCAGCTTCAGGTTTGTGTTTTGTAAGTGACATATTGTTGGATGGATTCTGGTTTTTGATCCACTCTGCTGTCTGCTTCTTTTTTAGGGGAGAGTTCATCCCATTCACATTCACAGTTATGATTACTAACCGTATTTCCCTCCATCCTAGTCTTCCTCCTGTTTGTCTTCTCTCTCCTTTCACCCTTTCCCTCCTCACCAGTGTTTTGCTTCTGTCTTCCACCTCTCCTGGTCTCCCTCCCTTCTGTCAGTCCCTCCACCTTTATTTGCTCTCTTCCCCTCCTACTTGTCTGTCAGTTAAGATAAAAATTTTTTTTAAGATAAATTTCTGTATTCAACGGATTGTGTATGTTATTTCCTCTTTGAGCCAATACTGAAGAGTGTAAGCTTCAAGCAGTGTTCATTGCCGACCCTCCAATCTTTCCCTCCACTATAAAAGGTTTTTCTTGCCTCTTCATGTGTAATAATTTGTGTACTCCTCTTTTTCTTCCCTTAATTGTTTTTTTTTAATGTCATTCACTCAAATTCACCTTATTCCCATACCCTCTGTCTCTATATATGTCTTCTAGTTTTACTATTAGTGGCAAATTTTTAAGCGTTCCAAGTATCATCTTCCCGTGTAGGAATGTAAGCAGTTTAGCTCCATTGATTTCTTGTGTTTTCTTTTCCGTTTTTCCCTTATTAATCTTCTCTTGGGTCTTGATATTGGAGATCAGATTTTTTGTTCAGTTCTGGTCTTCCCCTTAAGAAAGCTTGAAATCCTTCTGTTCTATTGAATGACTCATTTTTTTCCCCTTGAAGTATTATGCTTAATTTTGCTGGGTAAGTAATTCTTGGTTGTAATGCTAGCCTTCTGAAATATAATGTTCCGTGACTTTTGATCCTTTAATGTTACAGCTGCTAAATCCTATATAATCCTGATGGTGGCTTCCCAGTACTTGGATTGTTTCTTTCTGGCCACTTGCAGCATTTTTTTTCCCTTACTTGATAATTCTGAAATTTGGCTGTAATGTTCCTTGGAGTTTTTATTTTGGGATCTCTTTCCTGAGGTGGTCATGGGATTCTTTCAATGTCTCTTTTGCCCTCTGGTTCCAGGATCAGGGCAGTTTTCCTTGATCATTTCTTGAAGGATGCTGTCAAGTTGCTCCTTTTTTATGGTCCGGGTAGTCCAATGATTCCGACATTGTCTCTCCTGGATCTGTTTTCCAGGTCGGTTGTTTTTCCAATGAGGTATTTTACTTTTTCTTCATTTTTTGCATTCTTTTGAATTCATTTGATTCATTCTTGATGTCTTATAGAGTTATTAGCTTCCACTAGCCCAATTTTAACTTTTAAGGAGTTATTTTCCTCAGTTAGCTTTTGTGCTTCCTTTTCCATTTGTCCAATTTTACTTTTTAAGTCATTGTTTTCTTTTTCCAAGCTGTTGACTCTTTTTTCATAATGCTCTTGCATCACTCTCATTTCTTTTCCCAGTTTTTCTTCTACCTCTCTAATCTGATTTTTAAGCTCCCTTTTGAGCTCTTCCGTGAATTCGTTCTGGACTTAAGGCCACTTCCCGTTTTTGTTTGGAGCTTTTCCCATAGGTGTTTTGACATTGTTGTCCTCTTTTGAGTTTGTGTCTTGATCTTCCCTGTCACCGTAATAACTTTCTATGGTGAGGATCTTTTTTTGTTCATCATTTTTGGCCTTTTTCTTTTCTTTTAAATTTGAGCTCTGCTCCTGGGGTGAAAGGGGCACTGTCTTGGGCTTCTTGCATGAGGGACTACAGGCTGTTTACCTGGTGCTGCACTAATGTTGCCCTGAGACCCACCAGGGACCCTTATGTCTGGTGCTGTGCCGAGGGGCTGGAATGGAGGGTGGCTGGTGCTGTTGGAAGCTGCAGGGATCTGGCAGCTTACTTCGTGCTGAAGAGGGATCCTGATGTTGGTGTCTGGCATGTGCTGAGACTGGTGGGGTGTTTCTGCGTTTCCCCAGGCTACACTGAAGCACGGAATGGTCTAGCTCTTGGAGGATGTCTATTTGCCTGGGGCCTGGCTGCAGCTCATGGGGGGGGGCCAGGGCTGGGATGGCATTGGCACCCATAAGGTTGGCATCTCCCTCTTTGACCAGGGCTACCCTTAAGCACGTGGTACTTCTCTGAGCTGGAGTCTGCTAATCCCCCTGGCTAGGCTAAGACATGTGGGGGATCCTGGTGTTGGCATTTCCCTGCTCCACCACACTGGGGTTCAGGATCCCTCCCATTGGTTCGCTGAGGTGGAGTTTGCTTCTGGCTTGCTGGAGCACTTCTTGTCCTAGACTATACTCTCCGTTTACCTGAGTGGGACAGACCTTTCCTGCCGATCTTCCAAGTTTCTTGAGCTAAAAGATTGTCTCACCTCACCTTTTTGCTGGTTCTGCCATTCCAGAATGTGTTTTGGGGTGGCTGTTTTGTGGTTGTTTGGATGTGAATATGAGAGAGTTATGGTGATTTACTGCATACTTCATCATCTTGATTTCAGGAAGTGGGGATGTTTTCTTGTAACATTGAGGAGTTATTCTGGTGCTCGTGTGCTTAGCACTGTACCTAGCCTATTATAGGTGCTTAATACATGTTTCTTGACTAACTGAAGATAAGCAAATGGCCAGGCAATAGATGCCTTGAAACTGTTGTTGAACACTGTTCTTCATTTTAGAAATGAACTGAGGCTCTGGAAGCCTGAAGCTTCTATCTCACATGGTCCCAGTAAGTCACTCTCCCTGCATCTTCCCACATGCCATCCCAGAGGAAATGGGATAGTGTTTCATCCTGGGCATGTGGAGCAAACTCATCCGGCTTACTCCCAAAATAGTTTATCATGATTTCAAACTGAACCACCCGAAATTGAGCAAGATGGAATTATCCTAAGTTCCAGCTATTGATATTTGGGCTAGGATTTTTTCTTTTCTTTTCTGGTATTTGGGTTAGGTTTTTTTTTCTTTTCTTTTCTGGAGATGAGTGGAGGGAAGAGGAGTTGGACCCTGAAGAGAGGAAGTGGTTTTCTCAAAACTAACACTAATAAGTTACAAAGGGAATTCACAAGGAAAACCAGTCTCAAAAGCCACAGTTAAAGACTGACAACGTAGGTGATTTCTGATGATACTAAAACAGTGTGGAAGGTGTGAAATGCCCTCCTGGGAAGGAGGTAGCCCGGAGTGAAAGGTGGATTGTTAGAGATTAATTCCATGTTTCTAACAGAGGATGAAACAAAGCTGAGAATATCATTTCATAATTTTGTTTCTGAAAGAACTTCTTAAAAAGGCAGCACTAACAGTCTGGTATAATGGATAGAAGAAGAGCCTTGGAGTCAGAAGACCCAAGATCAGATCTTTCCTGTGACACATACTAGGATGTAACCATAGGCAAATTGCTTGACCTCTCAAAGCCCCAGGCAGTATTCTTGGAGGGATTTTCCACACCAGAGGCTCCTAACATCAATTAAATCATAAGCCAGGACCAAATCCTCTGTCTCTCCTCTCCAACAACAAAAATACAAGGCAAAGTGCAGTTTATTTGATTTTATTAAACCTCTCTCCCACAAATGGCTCTGACTTATTGTGGTCATAAAACATTTGAGAAAAGCAAAAGGAATATTCTTATGTGCTTCAGATTGTGTTAATGCCTTTAATTTTTTTTTTTTTACATCATAGACATTTCAGGACTATAGATTTATGACTTGAAAAGACCTCAGAGGTCATGTGTGACATTCCTGCCACCCAGTGAATCTTCCTTTATTATAAAGAAAAACAGTTAAGCAGAATCAGCAGAAACAGGGATCACAACAGACAGGGGAGCTGACATCCTATGTCCATTGGGCTCCTCCCCAAGAATTGTCTTAGGACCACAGGCCCAGCATTGTAAGGAAATCTCATCTGGTCCAATTCCCTAGTTTTGTAGGTGAGAAAACTAACTCTAGGCTAAATGACTTGCCAAAGAACACATATCATACAAACAGTAACTGTCTGAGGTAGGATTGGAACCTAGATCCCCTCATTGCAAAATCAGTGCTAGTAGTAATAATAAGAATGATGATGATAGTTATAATGTTTGTATAACACTATGTGCCAGGCACTATGCTAATTGCTTTACAGTTATCTCATCTGATCCTCACAGAAGTAGGTGTTGTTATTACATTTTACAGGTAAGGAGAGGTTTAAGTGACTTTGCCAGGGTGACACAGCTACTAAGTGCCTAAGGGTAGATTTGAACTCCCATCTTCTTAACTCCAAGCCTGGGGATTGTGATGCACAGTGGCGCCACCTGGCTGCTTGTTCCACCTGTACCTTTAATTTTGGTAGAATGTTGATGTCATTCTCTTTGCCATACTTTCCACACATACACACTTAAAAATCAGAAATATTTGAAAAGTTCACTTTTTCCCTATGAATTTTATCTCTCTAGATCAAGCCCCAGGTGCTAACACAACCTAATTCCCCCTTCTCCTAGTAAGGTAAAAGGCTAACAATGCAAAGATTACCAACGAAGTGAGAAAAATGATCAAGGAAGCATATTTCCCCAGAAAATGTCATTTCAGACTAAACATTCTGTTGTTTCATGGTATTTGGGGGAGAATTCCTCTCTGTTTCTGATACAGAAAACATGCTTCTCATTTCCTGTTTTTCCCCAGACAACAAGGAGATTTTCCTGGCTCGAGCGGTCCACAAGTCTTTCATTGAGGTTAATGAGGAGGGCTCCGAAGCGGCTGCTGCCTCAGGTACTGGGTTCTCTTTTAAAAAGTAAAAAGAAATGAAAATCCAGCATGCCAAGCTTTTGTTTTCAGCCCACTTTCTTTAATACCCCAAAGGGAACCCATCCACCTACACGTACACGCTTCCAAGATCACACCAAGAAGATGATTTAGGCCGTTACTCCAGAACAGAGCTAGTGCTGAACAAGGCATCATTTCCCAGAGATGATGTGTACCCTGTGCTGGGTCTCAAGTGTCCCGTTAAACTATCCCTCCCCTTCGCACTTGGCCTCAAATGAGTGGTAGGAAGGCATCAGCAGAGTTTATCAGGGTGGATTTTCTTGCTGTATTGCATCTTTGATTTTCATTCTTGCTCTGGAGTGATTGGGAAATTGAGGGGATTACTTCTCCCATCACTGGAAAGTGATTGTATTTTGTGATAGGCATATAAACAGTAACACAAGATCAAAGATAATACCTTGTGTTTAAAAAAAAAGGTTTCCTTAGTATAAACAATGTGTCAGGCTCAAAAATGGTAAAAGTGGCCCCTTTCTCTGATTGGTAAATACTCTTGGGGCCTCCTTCATGCCTCATTGTCAGTCTCACCAGTGAGCATCCATTGTGCGACCTTCTCACTCTGAGCCATACTGCCAATACGTTGACCCTCCCTCTTTTTGATGAGGCCCTCCTGGAACCATCATTTTGTGGAGAGGCCCAGACTGGCCAACCTTTAATCCTCTCCTGGCAGTGCTTCTGACTTTCTGGGTTTCAACATCTTATTCCCTTTCTGCATGCCTTTACCAACACCACCCCACCGCCCAGCTTTCTTTTTTATATCATCTTTGCCCATTAGATTTTAAGCTCCTTTTGGACAGGGACTGTCTTTTTGCTTGTATTTGTATCCCCAGTGCTTAAGAGAGTGGTTGGCACATGGTAAGCACTTAATAAATGCTTATTACCTTGTCTGGCTTCCATATTACCACAGAAAGGCCTGTCTACTTTGAGCTGTGTTCAAGGATCTCTCTCTCCCTTTCCCTCTTCACCCAAGTCCCAAATATAGTGGTTTTTACCTACAGGCTTTTATGGTGTTGACCATGAAAATGTCATGTCGAGGAATTCAGTCTACTCATATGGCTTCTTTCTGATATCTACCATTCCGGCCTCTGAGTTTTTAGTGGTGCTGGATTTAGAGCCAGTCCTGGATTCAAATCTTAGCTATATGTGACCTTTGGCATGTCACATGATCCTCAGCACCAAGATAGCAAACTGGTTGGGGCATAGGCTAACACAAGACTATGTCGATGAGTGCCATCATCACAGACTGTAGGCTTGTATGTCTTAGAGCTGGGATTGACCAGAGGCCATTGAGAACAGTTCCCTCACTATGCTGGTGAAGAAACCACCCTTGCTAAATAGAATGTTCCATTTGACATGTGTTTGGTGTTAAAAAGAAGAATTCTACCTCTTTTCTTTGGCTCAAAAGGAATTAACCTGTCAGATCTGCTTTGGAAAGACACAAAGTTCTTTCTCCCGGAGAAATGCGACGGGATCCTCTCTAGGGGACGGTGACTGAATTGGACTGTGTTTGTTGTGAGCCATGGAGTACACTTTTAAGCAAAGCAGAACATTAACGTCTTCTTACCCCCTCCCTTTTTTTTTTTTGGTGCAAAGTTGTGGCTGCTAGGACTCACATCTTCTCACTCGCGTTAAGTTATTAGTGGCTCCTGCAACATTGGACATAAATCGCCCCTTGCCATTTTTAATCATTCTCAGAGCATAAGTAGACATGTAATTACTCTGGACCCCTATTTCACTTAGATGAGATTGTTGGTCCTGTTTCTTGGTGACACACAGAGCACTAGTAATTTCTTGGTGAGATGAGGGACCACTTCTGAGGCTTTCAAACCTAAGGATGTCTGGTTCATGAAAGGGGGCAACCCTGTGTAACCGCCTGGCCACTTTTCCCTTCTTCTCCACAGGAATGATCGCCATTAGTCGCATGGCCGTGCTCTACCCCCAAGTTATTGTCGACCATCCATTCTTTTTCCTTATCAGGAATAGGAGAACAGGTGAGTCATGAGTGGTGAAGCTTTGGTAATGAGTCCCACTGAATCTTTTCCAAGCCTGAGAAGACATTGCTTTTGGTTCCTCATTTTTCCGAGAACTATCACCTTTCAAGAGCACTTTAGAGAACAAAAAGAAACTCAGAATAACAGGATTTTTTTTTCGTGTGTGGAGTAGACTACATCAGGAGTTGTTAACCTCAGGTTCATGGACCATAGATTTCCAGGGATCCATGAACCTGGACTGAAAAAAAAAGATCTTTATTTTCAATAACCTTTAACTGAAATTTGGCATTTTCTCCAATAATTTAAAAGCGTTATTCTGAGAAAGGGCCCGCTGACTTTACCTGACTGCCAAAGGGCAGTCTACGTCACAAAAAAAGGGGTTAAGTACACCTGAACTTGACGGATACCCTCAGCCCTTCCAACTCTCAAATCCTGTGATTCTGTGAAATTCATCTATCATGTTGGCAACACCATCCTCCCAGCCCCTCAGACTCACAAGCTAGGAGTCATCTCACTTTCCCTCCCCTCCCCTCCCATCCCCATCCAAGCTGTTGCCAAGGCTTGTCCATTTCACCTTTGTAATATCTCTCGAATATGCCCCCTTCTGTCCTCTGCCACAGCCCTCACCTGGTACCTTCATCACCTCTCACCTGGACTATTGCAATAGCTGCTGGTGGTTCTGCCTGCCTCAAATCTGTCTCTACTTCAGTCCATCGTCTGTTCAGCCACCAAAGTGTTTTTCCTAAAGTACAGGTCCAATCATATCACACACCCCCAACCCCTGCCTCCTAATCAGTAAACTCCAGTAGTTCCCCATTGAGTCCAATATCAAATACAAAATGCTCTGCTTGGCTTTCAAAGCCCTTTATAACACAGCCCCCTTCTACCTTTCCAGTCTTCTTACACCTTACTCCCCAACGTGGACTCTTTAATATAGTGACACCAACCTCCTGGCTATTACACAAGCAAAATGCTCCATCTCTCAGCTCTGGGCATTCACTCTGGTGGTCCCCCAGGCCTAGGATGCTCTTCCTTCTCCACTTCACCTGTTGACCTCTCTGGCTTCTTCTTCCCAACTAAAATCCCACCTTCTACAGGAAGCCTTCCCCAAGCTCTCTTAATTCCCATACCTTCCCTCTATGAATTATCTCGTTATTTATCCTGTACATAGCATTCTTTGTATAGGCTTGCTTACATGGTATCTCCTTCATTCCGTTGTAAGCTCTTAAGAGGACAGAGACTTTTTTTTTTGTCTCTTTTTGTATCCCCAGGGCTTAGCACTGTGCTTGGCATATAGTAAATGTCTAATAAATGTTTATTGATTGATTCGCACCCTATAAATCATATCAAAGACACAAAAGTGTCTCTCCCCGACTCTTTTTGGTGAAATTCTCATTTGTGTCCCCCTCCCACTCTGATGTAGGTACCATCTTGTTCATGGGAAGAGTCATGCATCCAGAAGCAATGAACACAAGTGGCCACGATTTTGAGGAGCTGTAAATATTTATTCTCACATCATAAAAGGAAAACTGTCACAAAGCACACCATGTTTGCCACTGGTATCTATTTAAGGTCTGTGTTCTCCAATGTATTCTAGGAACCCGTTCCAGGTCCACGCAATCATGTGAATGGCCAGCTGGTCTTGTCAAAGAATGCTTTCTGTATTATCATGGTCCTCTTGATGTCCTTGTGGTTACTGTGTTGGTATTGAAAATAAAACCATCTACTGTATACGTGAACAGGTCTGGGTCTCATTTTCAAATAGTTACATTGAGCCCTGGAGTGCCCTGAGGGGCGAGGGTCTATAGTTCTTTGGAATTGGTAGTGATTCCTGACCTCTTAGCTATCTTGTGAATTATTTTTTTTTTATCTTAAGGAGGGCTACTTTATTAGCTGCTTGTAATAATCACAGAAAGCATGTAGAGTGAGTTGTCCATAAAATTTGGCTTTCATTCATCTGTAAACCTGAATCACGTGAGAGGTGGTGGCAAAGAAATTCCTTGGTACTGCAGTGGATTCTTTGACCTCATCAACATGCTTGACCTGCCTGTGTGATCCTTCTCTATGTCCCCTTAAAAGTCCTTCAGAGGAGCTTTACCCCATGTGCCTAAAGCCTTCCTCTACATCAGAGATTCTTAACCATTTTTTGTCATGGATACCTGTGGGGGCCTGGTGATAAAGTCTTTCACCCCTTCCCAGAATAAGATTGGTCATCTATATTCATAATGGAAAGAAATGCTAAATGTCAGGTATAGGCTACTAAAATTAAAGTGTGATTTTTCCCCATCCAAGTTCACAGACTTCCTGAAATCTCTCCATGTACTTTTGAATGTGCATGGACCCCAGGTGAAGAGTCCATGCTCCAGATCTCCTGATGTAAAGCAGATACCAAAGGGCTTTTAGCACACAGGCTAAAGATTTAGATAGCTCTTATTCGTGCCCTGGGACTGATCTGTCCTTTTTCTCTAGTCTTACATCTCTTTGATGTCTGACATCCTTTGTGCCAATTCTCAAATGCAGCTCTTCATAGTTAATATTTCGGAGCCTACTCACATCCACCATCAGTCAATCAGTCAGTCCGCAAGCGTTTAGTAAACACCTGCTAAGTGCCAGGCACCATGGTAGGTGTTGGGGGTGTGAAGGCACAAACAAAACATCACAGAGAGCAGTAGCTCTGAAAGCAGAGGAAAAAGCTTCCAATTCTGGCACTGACCCTAATTACCTACATGACCATAAGTTAGCCTTCTTGGGCCTTAGCTTCCTCATTGTAAAATGAGGGGTTGGGACGATATAACCACTGAATTTCCTTGGCTCCTGAGGGCCATTCTACTAAATTTGTGATACCATTGGAGGAAGTAACATGTGCCCTATCCTGGTCTTTTCAGTACCCCTCAACATTCATTCATTAGAACCTTGGCACCATGCTTCACAGGAAATGCAAATATGGTCTGTTGCCCCCTCCTCGAAATTTATTTCAATAAAGCATGAGATAATATAAACTTCTCTGTGTATGTGTGCATATAATATATATAAAATACATACATATATACACATATATATGTTATACGTGCACACGTACACATATGTGTATGTGTATGTATATGCCGATGTCTCTCTCTATATATGTATATACATACTGGTCACCTCCTCTCCATTGTATACTTAAACTTTTCTTTACCCTCATACAAAGGCAAGTTTGAAGTGCTGCCATTTTACTACTTCCATAGAAAACCGAATGTATGTCAAGAGCCCCAAAGAGACAAAACAAGGAGGTAAAATGATCATTGAAATCCAGCCCGTAAAGAGGAGAATTCCCAGACAAGTCACTAGGGTTATAAATCAGAGCAAGCAATTCCTTGAATGTTCCTAGTACATACTCAGCACAGTGGTTAGGTGCAGCCTTTTCTCATATCTATTAAACTTCATTCTGTGGGTGAAAAAGTCATAAATTACTTTGAAATGAGTTTAACTTTTTCAGGTCATTAGTAAAATGTTGCCATTGCCTAGAATAACTAACGTAAAGATCCCAGTAGGGCCAAGCCCAAGATTTAACCCAGTTCTGTTTCTGAAATAATTTCTGAGTCTCCAAAGTTTGGTGTAAAGCAGTATTTTCATGGTTTTATTTCTCACGGTTTAGGCTCTTGGTGTGAGTTGGTATAATCCTTTGCTGTGTAACCATTTCCCATAATGCTACAGATACATATAGGACACAAAATGAATTATTTATGAGGTGTTTACGGTTATAGGAAATTCTGAGAGTTAATGAGGCATTCTCTCCATGCCACTAATCATAAAAACAGTTTCCATGTCGGATAGCTTTATATATAGTGGGAGGGAAAATTCTATCATTTATTCAGACCTCTATGAGACATAAGGCCCAGGATGGGAAGTTCTGCATTAAAAATTCAAACCACTTTATGTGAAGAGTTTTAAAAAAATGATTCCACTGTATAGCTTTGGGACTATTACGTACCATGGGAAAAAAAAGCACAAAATATCTCAGCATCATTAGACCATAGAAATATCTTAGGGAAAATGTCAAGACTTTTTTTTTAATATGGTTAATTCCCACATGAGAATTTATGAATGCCCAGGGATTACTAGCCCACCCCGAATTTTCCTACAGCATATATTCTGAAGAGACTTACGCAATATTAATAAAGCTGGGTAGAGTATGGAACAGTGCTTCTGTTATGATTAATAACGCGTTCTGGGTAGGCTAAATGATATTGATGTCAGCATTGATATTCCAGGCTTGTGTTCGTCTGTGTTCTTAGCTCATTAATTATTTTGTAGCATTGTTTATATTGTCATTTCTACCTCTCAACTAAATGAGTTACACCTAGGTGAAAGTGAGTGTCATTGGGCAGTTGGGTGGATCTTACAAAAGCAATTTCATTTTTTATTAGTATAAGACTTGGTTCAGAAAGCCTTCACCTTCAAATGTTTCTGAGGCATTATCTAAAGGGAAATAGCTTCTACCTTATTGCTAATGTTTATTAGGGAATGTTTAAAAGACAGAAGACATGACGTCACATTTTATTTCCATCATTTGACTTGAGGATTCTAAGATAGGTCTTTTTTTCTTCCTTTTCCTCTAAAGTAATATCATTTTTCTACCCTGAAAAAAATTCACAAGTTAGTAAATATCCTACTCTTTATTATTTAGCCTTATTTCTTTATTTCTCCCTAGTTCCAATCCAGTCCACAAAATATCTATTCTGCCATATTTCCAGTGAGGGTACATAGTAAGCCCTCTATAAATGTTAGCTATTATTATGATGTGATAAATGCTTGATCAGAATCTGTTCATAATAGAACTGGTCAGTGGTCATCAAGACAAGAAATTGTCTATCCAGGACCATTAGCCTGGTAGCAAATTAGGATCAAAGGATTTAGAGTTGGAAGGGAAGACTTTCTAACCTAAACCTTTCATTTTGCAGATGAGGAAACTGAGACCCAGAGAGTTAAGTGATCTTCTCAAGCTGCCATGGGAGGAGTGCTGATTTGTCATGGGAAAGAGAAAATCTAAAATGCCCATGTGTTTGCTAGGAAAATGACTTGAGCTACTCTGCAAAAATACAAATCCAATTGGCTTTACTACTCATTAATTGCTCTTCTCTAAGTAGTTCAGGTAGAAGTAATCATGTTAGCAAACAGCTTTTTTCACTGAGAGGGAGAAATGGATAAAAACAGGGAGAGAGGGAGTCTGTCTGGCTTATATCTGAAATGGGGTTGATCTGGTTTTACCAAGTGTTTACAAATTTGCTTGTTCTGGCATCTTCTGGACCATTTACTTCAGCCTGAATACTACTACTAGTAATGACACCAGTTAGTGTTAACACTTTGATTCCTGTTGGTGTATCTAACAATGTCTTAGCTCTCTCTCTTTTTGGGGGGACACCACTCTGCAATATTGGGGCTATTCACAGAGTAAAGATGGTATCGTCCATCTTTGAGTGCATCTTGTTCTTTCTCAGATAAATTAAGAAAACGCAGGTTCAGTGGGACTTTTTTTTAAATTTAGCATGCTCAGGGTAGGTACCATTTATCTAAATGTGTTTTCCAGATATTTGAGGGTCCCCATTCTTTTTAGGGCCCCAAATGTTAACTTTTTTTTAAAAAAAATGAAATATATGTGTGTCTATGTGTGTGTATATATATATGTGTGTATAATTATACACACACATGTATACATATACACATGTATACATATACATATATAAAAGGAGGGGTTATGGAGCACTTTAGCACAAGAATTTGTCCTTTTCATGAAGATTAAAATATGATGTTTATGGGCCAACAGTATTGTAAGTATTCTCCATATAGTAATTAGTCTTTGCTAAGTCATTTTTACCATATAAGAGGGGTTAGAATCCCAACTTGGTCTGCAAAAGCCTAGTTAATTCCTGATGTAGATGGAATATGTATTGCACTAATCATTCTAAAGAAATAAACCACCCTGTGTAAGTGTGTTTCTATGGAAAAATGAATTTGAAATTCTAAATCTGGTGCTCCCAAACACATGCCCACCTTCCACGTGGAAGCTGCAATTTTCTTGACTCCTTCAGTTGTGAAAGTAGGAGAATCGGGAAAAGGACCCAGAACAGGCCAGGCACAGACACCACCAGCTCTGGGGAAGAGACCCATGCTCATTGCAGGTAAGATGTCATGGTGGAGAGAACCCTAGATTTGGAGTCAGAAGAGCCACTTCAGACCCCCGACCCTGCAACCATATGACGTTAGGTAAGTCCTTTGACTTTTTTGGTCCTCTGTGTAATGAGGGGGTTGGACCTGGAATTCCCAAAGCTCCTTTCCAGCTCTGCCTTTGCATAATGTGATTCCATCCACCAACCATTTATCAAGAACCTTCTACATCCCAGGTGTCTTACACGGTCCCATAAATACCAAGAAAAAAAGGATGGAGTCGTTATTGCCAGACAGCTTACATCCTGCTAGCGATCTCAGGAGTTGTGCCCATAGAGGCAGGGTGGCTGGGACTTGCATTGGCTCTTATGGGAGCATCAGAGAATTATAGATGAGGAACTGAACCAGGTTTTGGAAGCCATTCCTCCAGTCCCACCTACACATGTGAACATTGAGGCCCAAAGGGATTTAAATTGACTTGCCCAAGGCCACCCAGCTAGTAAATGATAAAGGCAGGATTTGTACCCAGGTCCTCTGTACCGCAAATCCAGTTTTCTTTTCCCTTGTATCGGTGTGTGTATGCATGCAGTAT